GCAACTTCCTTATGTGCAATGCGTGCGCTTTTTCCTGAGTTCACCAGAATTAATATGTAACCAGGTCTTTTCTCAGTCAAAAGACACAGCAGGTTAGCAGGTTTGAGTGGTGACCTATGTAGGTTGATACGGGAGTCTTGCCAGGCAAAAGGCTTCTGGGACAAGCAATTGTCACAGTGTATTAAAATAAAAGCACGTACCCTTTGCTAAGAATGGTTAAGAACACAGGCAAAACCGTGCTGGACAGGCCCACCCACTGCAGCACTCGATCACACAGTGGCAAAGCAGCTGCCCGCAGGATCGCTCCAGCAGGTGGGTGCCGGACCGCTGCGTGTGCAGGCAGGCCACCCCTGCCAGGGAGGCAGCACCCAGCCAGCAAGGCTGGCAGCCCCTGCGAGCCGCCTCCCCCTCCCTGGATCTGGCTACTCCCATTTTAAAGCCATCCGGATTGGCGCCATCCCCACTCCCCGTGGCAGCGAATTCCAGAGGTTAAGTAAGCGTGGCATGAGAAAGCGCTTTCTTTGCTCTGATCGAAGCCTCGCACCAACCAGCTCTGTTGGTACTAATTTTTCACCCTTTAAAGGGCCTGTTTTCCATTTGCGAATTCACGGTGCAGAAAGCCCTGTCAACGCTCCTTCCATTCCCGCATTTGTCATGATACTCTGCATCCGAGTTCATACGCCTGTGTGCAGGACGAGACCCAGCAAAGCAGACAGAGCCCAGGTGACCCGCAGAGCGGGTGGCCTCTTTGGACTCTGCTGCATGTAGATGGAGACGCTGAGGCAAAACCAGCCCCTGGCGCAGTGGGAGATGCGCAGAACAAGTCGTCTTGCTCGCCTGTGTCAGCTTTGAATGAGGTAGACAAGCTAATTCCTGGGATGTGCAGCTCGACGGCAGTGCTCAGCTATTAGATGTGGAGCTCACTGAGGGCAGCTCCCCTGGGAGCCGTAAGGACACATCCTCCCCGCACATGCGTCTCTTGTCACACACAAGGCCCCTGGCTGGTTGTGGCAGAGCTGTGGCAAAGGCGTCAGGCTGGGCTTCAGCATCTCATGGGGGCACAGTTCGGACTCCCATGGCTGTGCCTACTCCTCCTGTGCATCCAGATAATCACAAAGCTTAAACACAGCAGGATGGTCATTTTCAAGCCAATCAAAACCAGGAAGGAGACATGGATCTGGTAACTGCAGCAAGGAAATGGAAGATTATCTTTATCTGAAAGAAAGCAGAGCCATTTCTCTCTGTTGTCCTATAAATCATGACTTGCACACAGACAGGCGCTATTCAGCCAGGGGCTCACGGAGTTTCATGATGCTAATGCGCTTGCACAGGGGAAATCGTGGAAAGTGCTCCTCAGAGGGACCTGGAGCTGAAGGCATCCACACTGGGGCCGCCTGGGCACAGAGCTGTTCATTTTACAGGCACCCAGCTGGGCCATATTGAGCACCACTCTCGGTACCCCTTCAAGGCAGAATGGAAGAATGTGAAACGGGTCCCAGGCACAGAGGTACCTCGGCTCGCAAACGCCTCAGTTCACAACCAAATCGGGCCGCAAGCAGAAAGTTCATAAAAAATGTTGCTGCAGGTCTTGAACACCGCATTGGGTGTCGATTGTGAGCGCGCCCGCCTTCCCTGCACAGGCACAATCACTGTCATGCTGGGGGGGTGGGGGGAGGAGATGGCTGCAATTGCCCCTGTGTTCCCTGCCCGAGCGCACGCACGGTCAGGCCTGTCTTCCCCTCCAGTGCGCCCGCAATCGCACCCATCTCCCCCCCACCCCCTGCCTGATTGTTTGGGGAGGGGGATGGCCGCGATCTTTGTTGTTCTTTGCCAATTTGCTTCAAATTTTGTGAGTAAAATAAATACTCACAGAACAGATTAACCTTATTTACATTGACCCTTATGGGGAAATTTGACTTGGCTCACGACCAATTTGGGTTGCATCCAGAGTCCTGGAATGGATTTAGTTTGTGAGCTGGGATACCACTGTATTGCCCTCACGGTGGTGCAGTGGTAGGGAAGGAAATGAGCACAGGCCGCGGCTGGTCCTGCGCAGGATAGAGAGGGGTGCTAGAGGTGCTAGAGAGGGGACACTCATACTGTGGAGCCGCTAGGAGCCCCCATGAGATCAGGGCCAGGGGTGGACAGCTCTCCTGGTCGCTCTGTTCCTCCTGGATCTGAGATGAGGGCAGAAGAAGACAGCAGGGTGGTTTCACCAACACCATCATGAGATGCTGTCAAGTAAGATTCCATATACTTAGCACAGCACCGTGCCAAGGACTCATTCCACATTTTTGGCACCAGTTTCATTTAAGTTAGAAAGTAATTTAAAAAAAAAAATAATTCAGAAGGCCATTGAGAGTGGGGTATTTGACTGATTTATCAGGTGGCTGAGAAGTGTGGGTGCATGGGTGCCCCGGTCTTTCACTGCAGTCATCTCTCCAGCAGCCTCCTTGGCTTTCCACACTTTGATCACAGCCCAGGGGAAGACATCATGAGGCAATTCTTCCAATGAGTCTTTTTCAGGACAGGAAGTCCAGGCAGCCCAGCAGCCTGCAGACCCACAGAGAGATGCGTACCCAAAAAAGATACACCCACAAAACCCTTGGCAACCTCCTCATGATTAGGGAAGCTCAAAACACGCCCAACAGAAATTCAAAACAAACTATAAAGCAGCCTGAGATGGAGCCAGAGAAATGGAAACCTTTCACTGGGAGGCAAACTTTAAGACTTGGAGGATGGACGTGAGCAAAGCTGTAGCTCCAGCTCTTCCCTGGGGCTGGATGCAGCCCAGCCCCTCTCGTGCCTCTTACAAGGCTTCTGGGGAAGGGGCGACACTCCAAGCAGCTGTCCTGGGGACCAGAGGGATCCACAGTCGCCCCTCAAACGTTTCACATTTGGAAGATCTTAGGGATGGTGCTGAAGAATGACAACTAGAGCTGAGCCAAAAGGTCTCCGAAAATGTCTGAGACGTTTCTTACCCCTTAGAAATAAAGGACCGCCTTGTAGGTTTTTCCCCAGTGTTTCTTCCCCATTTCTGTGGGTGTGGAAGCCACCTTTCCCGTCCCCACACCCCAAAACGATGCTAGGTGCGGCGAGGTGTGGAGGAATCAAAATGGGAGCCAGGCTGCCCACACAATCGCTGCTGCGGACTCAGCAGGTCTGCTGCACTGAGGGAGCACTGGGCAAATCGCTTTCCCAGGGAGCCTCCTGATGCCCCCAGTTGTCGCTGCCTCCCCAGCCCCTGCAGCCAGCCCTTCCACTTCCCTTCTTCAAACGTCTCTGGCGCTGGTCTGGTGGTAGCAGCTTCCCCTCCTCCGGTTATTGTCCCAATTGTTTGTTGTTATTTTCATTTCCATACTGCCCAATAGCCAAAGCTTTCAGAGTGGTGTCACGCCGAAATCCCGCAATTAAGGCTCAAATGATCAGTTTCTTGTGAGGGCAGTTAGGTTTAATCACAATTGAACACATGGATCCATGGGTGCCCAAGACAGGACCACCCAGTGCTACTTCCATTGGGGTTATATAGAATGCACCAAAGGGGAGTGAATACAACGCACTGGAAGGTGATTGGATACTTTGACATGGGTAGGAAAGTGATTGGACACACGGCACAGCACCATAAAGAAAAGTTACATTTCACTCTAATTAGAGACCTTTGACAGGCCTTCTAAATTAAAGTTCCTTGAACAGGCTGGCCAAGTTAAGTAAACATAAAGGTCACATGTGTGAACTTACAGGGTTAGGGAGGCACCCTGGCAAGCCTATAAAACACAGGGATTGCACTTAGCCAGTTACGCACTAATGGAGTGGGGTTATTTGATCTCCACCATCAGACGGGCAGAGGGGCAGGATGGCAAAATTTGTTTTTCTGAGAACAGTGGTTCAAACTAATTCATCATAGTAGAATATTTGAATGGATACAATAACACTCAGTGTAAAATTCAAATGCATAAAACGTGAAAACAGTTTAAGTATCTAAATTTCAGCAGAGGTTGCCTGTCCAAGCACTGTACATATCCCATGAAAGAGCATTAAATACCATCTACCAGGTACAGAGGGCATTTCAACCTCCGAGTCTGTGTGGCCCCATTGGGTGCGGGGGAGCTCCTCTGGCAGGTCCCAAATGGCAACTTCTGATTGGCTTACCCCACTGCTGCTTTAACAAGTTCCTAAGAAAAGTTATTGTAACGGGGAGGGGGCAACACATGCCTGCAGGGCAATTACTTTGGTAGCCCCCTGGACAGGCTTGCAGCTGCGGGTGGCACGGCGAGGAAGGGCGACCTGCTTTGGCACGTTCCGGGGGCTGCTTGGGGGCCTCAGGAGCTGGGCACCCTGCCCTGCGCTCTGAGTTCCAGGCTCTGATGCACCTTGACTTCTCAGGAACAGATTTATTTATAAATTCAGATGTGACATGCACACATGCACTGTACAGGTAGCCTCTCCTCTTGCTATTGCAATTTTGTGTAACTCTTACCTGGGAGTAAGTCCCTTTTGAGTAAATCTGTAAGTTCTCTCTCTCAGCTGAAATTATTCCCCCCTCCCTCCCTCCCTCCCTCCCTCCCTCCTGCTTTCTTTCCCTTTTACTGTGTTTGGTCTTGAGGTTCCTGCTAAGGTTAGAAAAGGGACTCACCTGGGAGAACAGTAATAGTTACAAGGGTTCCATGATCTTTCCCAGATCTTTCTATGGCACACCAGTATCCACCAGCATCTTGCTCTGTGAGGTCCTCCATCCTCACGGTGAACTGAAAATGTGTGTGGTCATCCTTGATGG